TACTTCACAATATTCCTTATGGGAACAAATTCGGTCAGTACTGGCACCTGAACATACTTCTGGAGTGAAAAAATATCGTTAACCGGGGGTCCACTGTATGTTTATTGTAATTAGGGGAAGTGCCATTCCAATAGGGGTCATATAGCATTTAGGGAACAGGAGGTATTTAAGTTTGATGCATGGAAGAGGAGGATAGGTCAGCTGGATTGGATCAAAAGCCCATTACCAGCATCATCACCTTCCTAGACAAAGGGTAAACTTGTTTAAACATGAGGTTTTTACTTCAAATTTAAATAGCTAAGTTTGAGCTAGAATGAAGATGGGATAAGTGTGTCCTTTGCTAGTTTGTGCCGGGAAGGTTCTTAGTACAGTGACAACCTTGCTCAAACTGACTTCTTGCAAGAAGCTAGACGTTCATACCGTGATAAAGCCCAGCGTAATGAGGGTTAACTTAAGATAATAACTTTATTAATCCTAATCAACTGTATTTACAACTGGTTTAATCAGAAGTTTGTGGATATTCATATTACATTACTTTATGCACAAATTCATTGCACACAAAAATACTTGTACACTGTATGGATACATTACATATTTATTTGTATTTGATGTAGATGTGTCAGCAGATGAGCTAAATCACAGACTAGACAAGGAAAAGAAATCAACAGGAATGTTGTTGACTCTGTGTGAAGGAACTTGTTAAGTGGATGCAAAATGGGTAATGTATATGAGTGTTTTGGTATAAACATTTTGTATCTATGTGAGGCATGGTCTTTGAATTAGATTAGGTTATGTAAGGTTTGTCAGGAAAGAGGACAAGTATTGCCTAATATAGGTCTTAGTCATATGATGACCCACAGCTGGAGCTTTTGGTCATCTGACTGAGGCCTTCCACTGGCTCACCCCTCCACCTTTATAAAAATTAGGGTTATTTTTACTAATAGTCTTTGAATGTTGCTGCAAAGTGGAAGATAGAGACTGTGAGTGAAGATGTGTCTAAGGTCAGTATGAAGTATGTATGTATATGATGCAAAAAATAAGGATTAAATAAATTAGATGGTTTGGCGGCATAAGATGGTAAATTCAGGTCATGGATGTAAGGTTGTTGAGATGACTTGAATGTTTTGAAAGGTTGGCATAAGTTGATGAAAAGCTTGGATGGAAGGTGTAAAGGATGTCCAAGCATGGGCTGAAAGGTTTGTGTGAAAGTGGTATTGAGTGGTAAAGATTTGAGAGTCTGGCAAGCACATGTGATCTTGGTAGATCAGGAAATGGAGGCAAGTGGCTGCTGGAATTTTACAGACTGTCGAAGAGTGTGAAAATATCTATTAAAGGATTTAGAACAACTGGCTGGTATAGTGACTGCACCTGAAAAGAAGAGCAGAGGTACTGCAGCTCAGAGAATCACACGAATTTTGATATTTGTGCACAACTGGCTGGACAGTTAATAATGTGACAGTGAATGAACTGTTTTATATTGGGGTCTCCCTATCTTGTTACAAAATGGCTTGTGTGGTAATAGAAAAAAAAAAAGGGAGAAAGCTTCTGTGGCTGTGAGAAGAAGCATCAGGGTCACAGATGGTGGCTGCTGACGGAAATATGAATAGAAGTCGTTTCCGAAGTCTTCCTATGGAAAGCCTCATAGCTCAGTGGTAAAGCACTGGACCTGCTCCATGCCAGGGCCACACTTCAAGACACTACCTGTTCTTCTCTTTATTCATTGATAATCATTTAGGTACACCTACCATCCGACTTACGACCTGCTCGACTTACGACCACTCGAGTTACGACCGTGTTTTTTATGCCAAATTTCTGGGAAATAAACAACTATTTGTGTTGTACACAGAGTTTATCCTAAACCTTACAGTATAAAATACAGTACTAACAACATAAAAAGTAAATTAAAACACGAAATACCAAAATAAAACAATAAAATAAAGTCATTACAAAAATGTTTTGTTGATATTCAGTAGTAAAGTTCGACTTACGACCATTTCGACTTACGACCGGTTTCTCGGAACCGAACTCGGTCGTAAGTCGGATGGTAGGTGTATTATGATATATTGTTATATATATATACACGTATATATACATGTACGTATATATATAGTGCAAATTGCTTGCATTTGGCATGACTATATCAATATTTGCTCTCTGTGGTGCACATTACTAACTACAGATGCTTAATAACTGTTTCTCACCATTACTACCAGACACTTAAGTTTCTTATTAACAAGATTAATGTGTTTACATTATCTAATTTGATGCTGTTGTCAAGCTTTGTGCCTCGTTACCTGACCAAGTTGTCAAACTCAACTTAGTTAAGAAAGGCTTTGGCATAAGATTAATATTCACAGAAGATTTAAATCTTCTGTGAATATTTCACTAGTAGTAGAAGACTGTTGAAGATATGATAAATATTTGTTAATGAGGTTTAAACATACATGGAGAGAGACAAGAGTAGTAGGTTGTCTGTCTATTACAACCTCCAGCTAAGTTCTTTTACATATTTGCTGAATTATTATTTTTATTACATTAAAAACAATCAGGCACTAAACCCACATGGGTAATAGAGGTGGAGACAATTAGCACAAAATTGGCAAATAATGAAAAAGACACAATTTTCTTTTTCACCCCTGGGTTATAGATATCTCTTGTTTCTCTCTCCATCTGAGGTTGAACCTCTCAAGAGGATATTGCAGTATGTAGAAATGCTTTGTGTATAATGCTGAGTTAAGCAACTTGTAAAGGCCAAAATAGGCTTCAACGGTATGTAATAACTGAGGTTTGGGTTTAGTGGCTGAAGAAACTACCATGGAAGGCTAGCTCTCAGGCCCTCATACTGGCATGCATTCCTGGTAAGTTAACAAGTACTTTTAGTACCTGCTTGTGCACATGCCTTGCTGCCTTGCATTTACATAGTTGTGTTGCTCGAGAACCTGATTGATAGTGTACACTTAACACTAACAAACATTATCTGGAGAAGCTGAGGCTCTACTTCTACCACAAAAATATATCATTACAAAAATAGGAATAAAACGAATTTATAATCAATGAAGACTAAAAAATAATGCTATGAAATAAATAATCTACATACTTTATATTAATTAGGTTCTCTTCATAATGAACAGTTTGCATTTTTGGCATCAATATCAACTAACATTAACTCCCTTTTTTCCTTACAGCCAATATTCATATAAACAAGAAAATAATTTCGTTTTCATTTAATTTGTATATAACACTGTAATACATTTACAGATAAGTCATTAAACTTGTAGTTTGTAAATTCTCAAAGCAATGTTAGTAATTTTTATTAGATTGTAAATGGCATGTTTAGATATTTTTTTTTAAAACTGAGGTAAGGCGTGGATGAAAGATGAATGTGGACACACCAAGATGCTACTTTTGTAAGCAAGTGGGGGTAATAGGCATGAGTAATTTAGTCTCTATATACATATATAATCATGGGAAAACACCAAACCCATAGGGGGCATACAGCATCATGGGAATGGGTGATAATCAGGGTCCTTGGATCAGGAGTTAATCACCAGGTATCAAGGCACCCTTCTCCCCGGCCCTTGAAAGGGAATATAGGGTGATGTACACAGTACAGTGTACCTGGAAATAGGACTGGAAAAAAACATTTGCGTTAATAACCAAATTGATGATTAAACTTCACAAAGTTCCTCATTCTACAGATGAGATTTTTCTAATAAAATACCACTTTCAGGACTGGCATTATCAATAAGTATTGACACTGAGGAAAGGTTACCACTTTAGTGGTATTTTATTCTGAAGGCTACTCAGACATTTGCTAACCTTGTTTGCAGTGCAGTACAATTTTCATTTTTTATGTGGTACAAATATGTAGTTTACATGTAATAAAACACTGGTAGGCACAAAAGAAAGCCGCTAGTATTCAATGCATTTCAGGCCAACTGCCACTGCCATGTAGTCATCTGGATGAAAGTTACCCTGAAAAATCTTTAGCCAAAAACTTCAACCTGGTGTTAAAATTAAAGTAAATTGACGTTTGGATTATTTGAACCAAAATAAGCTTTCTTACCTTGACTCTATGGAACCTTGTGCCAGATTCCCCAAGTATTACATTCAAGTCTTTAAATACCCATAGCTAATAGATTAGGAACTAATGTTTTGGCAGACTGAAATAGAATCAGGCTTAATAATGATCCAGGATGGATTCAGACAGTCTAAACACTGATCTCTAATTTATGAGTTAGTTGTGATTTATTTTTATGCATGAACAGAATGTGTTGTGGTCATTCGTGAAGGTGGGAAACACCACTGGTGGTGTGAGATGATAATGTAGATGGAAGAGATGTAGGATATGTTTGTAAATGAGGTGTTTAAATCCAAGAGTTTTACAGTTAATTCAGTCATCATTAATTATCTGCCAATCCAGTGATCTTGCTCAATTTATCATCTAAACAAATAATACTCAAAATGTGCAAAATAGAGGACATAAAAAAATTTGTGATTATCGTGGTTTCTGAAAATCTGGATCAACCTTGACCATAAAGGCACAGGATAACTGATGATCCACTGTATTACCTAAGGATGACTGAAGAACAAGTGCAGTGAAGGTATTTTGTGTAAAAGTAGAACAATAAATAGACGGGAAGTCCTATAGTAACTGTGGAACTTCCCATTATTTATTTAGTGCATGATAAACAAGTTATTGATACTTATATTTTATATGTCCTTTTATCCTTCATACCCGTTTACATAAAAATGAGGTTCAGAATAATGTAATTGACAACCTGTTCTTGGAATATAGCAGGCAACTATCATGTTATTTTTTATATTAATAGTATATAACTTATAATTTCATCATTTTTATATCCATTTAGGATAATAATCCTAGTAAATAACTTCAGTATAGATCTTGTGAGTAAAATATTATGTGTAAAATACTTATTGTTATCTACAACATGTAGTCTGTTGTGGAAAGTGTTCTCACTATATATTACCACCAACAGAGGAAGCTGAAGAGACTGCCTGTGGGTCTTGTCCTGGTTCTGGGCTCGACATGCACCTGCACCAGCAGAGTCCCCTCCTTGCTTCATCCAAACTATCCTCTTCGCATCATGCTCACCTTGAGTCAATAGCTCCATATAACCCCATTCTTCCCACCCATTTTGAGACAATGTCCAAGAAACTACTCCCCATCACATCTAAAGTAGCCATCAGCAGCCTTGAGGACAGCATCAGTATGGACACGAGAGGTATTGACATCCCATCTTCAATCAGTGTAGTTAATGGCCCAGTAAAAGTGACTAATGGTTTTTACATCCCAGAACATTAAGTGACCTGTTAGTATTATATTTAATGATAAATATTTATGTGAAACAAGATCACAAGAAACAAGTGATATCTTAATATGCAGTTTAATCACTTTGAAAGGGAAATTAAATTTGAAGAGCTTTCGTTATCTTTCAGTCTCATTCTCAAGGAATCATTATTCCTTGAAAAATCAATTGAAAGGCCACAAAAGAATTGGAATTTAATTTTGCTTTGAAAGTGGATAAACTGCAAACATTTGTGTGTGCGTGAAAATCAACTATGAAGAACAAGATACATTAAGAACAGACTTAATTTGAGCGGGATGTGATCAAGATACCTAAATGAAGCCGGATAAATACAGTATACAAATACTGCAGTGTAATAATAGCTATGCAATACTCATGTAAGTACATACTAAACTATGTAGTTAACTGTATATCTTGTAATGACTGTCTCATGCTAGGTTTTAAGTTAAATAATATAATTAATGACATTATACACCTAAATAATTATATTATCATTATAAACAAGCTACTGTTTAAGTTAAAATAATACAGATAAAGACATTTTACATTTAAAACTAAAACTATCATTATGAAGTACAATTTAAGGGTTAACAGCATAAACATTTAAAAATAAAAAAGTACAACATTCTATAAGTTATTAAGTTACTTTAGAACTTTCAACTGAAAGTAAAAAACAAAACAAACTAAGAACTTGATATACTGATATTGAGAGATTTGAACATTGCAATGCAGGGTTGTGCATATGTGTGTATAGATCATTTCCATCTTCCAATGCATCAAGTTACACACGTGTATTTGCAAGCAAGGCACCTCGGAAACATTGTTTTACAACCACCAAGTCTCGATACAATCATGTGTGTAACATAGCCATCTACTGTACTGTTCTTTTCTATAAAACTCGTTTGTATGCCGGAAAACCAGGAATGCAACTTGCATGTAAGTTGGGGGCCTCCTATATTTATGCTTAGTATGCAGGTTGGGAGGCAGCTGTGCGAATGTCTCGTTGCAAACTTGGGCATATTTTAAATTAATGAAATTCTTTTCAGTTTTCTCTATAAGCTTAATGGTGAACTGAATACAGTATTCTCATAATTTTAAATTAATCATCAATTTTTTTATTTGTTTCCTTCAGCCTTTTACAATGTGCAGTAATTCAAACAAAAATATTAATTATCAGCATGCAAATTTTTTTTTTACGTGGAGCACTAAACCCATGTGGGCCCTTGAACATATGGGTGAAGGCTCAATCCTCCATCCACTAACTGTGAAAACAAGTCAAATCGTACTCACTTATTTATCAGTTTACAACAATGTGTAAAGACCTTACAAAGAATTGCTTATCATTAAGTCCTTAGAGTGAACTCTAAGTTGTGCTCCTGGAACCGAATGAGCTAACCCAAGTGCTATTCTAATATAACGTGCTCTGTCTGGAGTATTGTGTTCTCGTCTTTAAAGACGAGATATCAAAACATCAAGCTGCTCCCTTGATGGGCATATTTATAGTATATTATATATATATATTATCACACTGGCCGATTCCCACCAAGGCAGGGTGGCCCAGAAAAGAAAAACTTTCACCATCATTCACTCCATCACTGTCTTGCCAGAAGGGTGCTTTACACTACAGTTTTTAAACTGCAACATTAACACCCCTCCTTCAGAGTGCAGGCACTGTACTTCCCATCTCCAGGACTCAAGTCCGGCCTGCCGGTTTCCCTGAACCCCTTCATAAATGTTACTTTGCTCACACTCCAACAGCACGTCGAGTATTAAAAACCATTTGTCTCCATTCACTCCTATCAAACACGCTCACGCATGCCTGCTGGAAGTCCAAGCCCCTCGCACACAAAACCTCCTTTACCCCCTCCCTCCAACCTTTCCTAGGCTGACCCCTACCCCGCCTTCCTTCCACTACAGACTGATACACTCTTGAAGTCATTCTGTTTCGCTCCATTCTCTCTACATGTCCGAACCACTTCAACAACCCTTCCTCAGCCCTCTGGACAACAGTTTTGGTAATCCCGCACCTCCTCCTAACTTCCAAACTACGAATTCTCTGCATTATATTCACACCACACATTGCCCTCAGACGTGACATCTCCACTGCCTCCAGCCTTCTCGCTGCAACATTCATCACCCATGCTTCACACCCATATAAGAGCGTTGGTAAAACTATACTCTCATACATTCCCCTCTTTGCCTCCAAGGACAAAGTTCTTTGTCTCCACAGACTACTAAGTGCACCACTCACCCTTTTCCCCTCATCAATTCTATGATTCACTTCATCTTTCGTAGACCCATCCGCTGACACGTCCACTCCCAAATATCTGAATACATTCACCTCCTCCATACTCTCTCCCTCCAATCTGATATCCAATCTTTCATCACCTAATCTTTTTGTTATCCTCATAACCTTACTCTTTCCTGTATTCACCTTTAATTTTCTTCTTTTGCACACCTTACCAAATTCATCCACCAATCTCTGCAACTTCTCTTCAGAATCTCCCAAGAGCACAGTGTCATCAGCAAAGAGCAACTGTGACAACTCCCACTTTATGTGTGATTCTTTATCTTTTAACTCCACGCCTCTTGCCAAGACCCTCGCATTCACTTCTCTTACAACCCCATCTATAAATATATTAAACAACCACGGTGACATCACACATCCTTGTCTAAGGCCTACTTTTACTGGGAAATAATTTCCCTCTTTCCTACATACTCTAACTTGAGCCTCACTATCTTTGTAAAAACTCTTCACTGCTTTCAGTAACCTACCTCCTACACCATACACCTGCAACATCTGCCACATTGCCCCCCTATCCACCCTGTCATATGCCTTTTCCAAATCCATAAATGCCACAAAGACCTCTTTAGCCTTATCTAAATACTGTTCACTTATATGTTTCACTGTAAACACCTGGTCCACACACCCCCTACCTTTCCTAAAGCCTCCTTGTTCATCTGCTATCCTATTCTCCGTCTTACTCTTAATTCTTTCAATAATAACTCTACCATACACTTTACCAGGTATACTCAACAGACTTATCCCCCTATAATTTTTGCACTCTCTTTTATCCCCTTTGCCTTTATACAAAGGAACTATGCATGCTCTCTGCCAATCCCTAGGTACCTTACCCTCTTCCATACATTTATTAAATAATTGCACCAACCACTCCAAAACTATATCCCCACCTGCTTTTAACATTTCTATCTTTATCCCATCAATCCCGGCTGCCTTACCCCCTTTCATTTTACCTACTGCCTCACGAACTTCCTCCACACTCACAACTGGCTCTTCCTCACTCCTGCAAGATGTTATTCCTCCTTGCCCTATACACGAAATCACAGCTTCCCTATCTTCATCAACATTTAACAATTCCTCAAAATATTCCCTCCATCTTCCCAATACCTCTAACTCTCCATTTAATAACTCTCCTCTCCTATTTTTAACTGACAAATCCATTTGTTCTCTAGGCTTCCTTAACTTGTTAATCTCACTCCAAAACTTTTTTTAATTTTCAACAAAATTTGTTGATAACATCTCACCCACTCTCTCATTTGCTCTCTTTTTACATTGCTTCACCACTCTCTTAACCTCTCTCTTTTTCTCCATATACTCTTCCCTCCTTGCATCACTTCTACTTTGTAAAAACTTCTCATATGCTAACTTTTTCTCCCTTACTACTCTCTTTACATCATCATTCCACCAATCGCTCCTCTTCCCTCCCGCACCCACTTTCCTGTAACCACAAACTTCTGCTGAACACTCTAACACTACATTTTTAAACCTACCCCATACCTCTTCGACCCCATTGCCTATGCTCTCATTTGCCCATCTATCCTCCAATAGCTGTTTATATCTTACCCTAACTGCCTCCTCTTTTAGTTTATAAACCTTCACCTCTCTCTTCCCTGATGCTTCTATTCTCCTTGTATCCCATCTACCTTTTACTCTCAGTGTAGCTACAACTTGAAAGTGATCTGATATATCTGTGGCCCCTCTATAAACATGTACATCCTGAAGTCTACTCAACAGTCTTTTATCTACCAATACATAATCCAACAAACTACTGTCATTTCACCCTACATCATATCTTGTATACTTATTTATCCTCTTTTTCTTAAAATATGTATTACCTATAACTAAACCCCTTTCTATACAAAGTTCAATCAATATAGGTAGGAACTTATTTAGTGGAGGCTCAGTAATTCATTACAGTGGACTCCCGGTATTCGATATTAATCCGTTCCTGAGAGCTCATTGAATACCAATAATATCGAAAACCGAATCAATTTTCCTCATAAGAAATAATGAAAATCAAATTAATCCGTGCAAGACACCCAAAAGTATGAAAAAAAAAAATTTACTACATGAAATATTAAGTTTAATGCAATAGAATAATTACAATAACAATAAAATAATTGACACTTACCTTTAATGAAGATCTGGTGATGAATGATGGGATGGGAGGAGGGGAGAGGTGTTAGTGTTTAGAAGGGGAATCCCCTTCCATTAGGACTTGAGGTAGCAAGTCCTTTTCCAGGGTTACTTCCCTTCTTTTAATGCCACTAGGACCAGCTTGAGAGTCACTGGACCTCTGTCGCACAACAAATCTGTCCATAGAGCTCTGTACCTCCCGTTCCTTTACGATTTGTCTAAAATGGGCCACAACATTGTCATTGTAATAGCTGTGTTAGGGTGATTTTCATCCATAAAGGTTTGCACTTCAACCCACTGTGCACACATTTCCTTAATTTTTGAAGTAGGCACAATGTATTCCACAACTGGTATAGGCTTCTCAGGGTTAGCCCGAAACCCTTCAAAATCTTTCTTAATTTCCATACTAATTCTCACCCTTTTTACCACAGGGTTGGCACTAGAAGCTTTCTTGGGGCCCATGGTGACTTATTTTGCA